GGCCCCTGCAGGGCTGGGCACGGGTCAGGCGGAGCTTCCCCCGACGGTAGCTTGGCCTTTGTCGCTGACACCCGCCGGCTCGAATTGCTTCCACTGTAAAATACCTGATTCGTCGAATAATTGAGGGAGAGACTAATAGCCTTCCCCACGCCTGACGTGCCCCTTGCCAGAAACCCCTCACGGGGAGGGTAACACCCGCACTGGGGCAGAGCTCTTGATTTTATCATCTCTCCTGCCTTAAGGCAAGACCAGCTTGCGCGGCAGGGTTAGGGAGACGCTCATTCGTGAAAAAGAGAGACGTGAAGACAAGTAGAAAGATCTGAAGACCGAATTTGTCCTTGCATGGCATAGGGCCTGGCCGTCTTCCGTGGAGCCTGCCCATCCTATTCGCTGCAACAGAGTCTAGATCCCGTCAATTCAGCCATGCCATCTAGTGGGACCCTGGAGCTGGGCCTTCTCTGTCTCTGCACCTGCCCGTTGGAAGAGCACCCCCTCCCCAAGATCCACACCGTCTCTTCTTTGCCTGTCTTCAGGTGATCTTTAAAAACGTGGCTGCTTCCCCAAGCCTGGAGCTAGGTGGTTTTTTTGGTGGGGGAGCACCTTTTAGTGGCAGGTGTTGTGGACATAGGCTTTGCTTTTTGTGTTTCCCCCAATACGCCAAGTGTTTTATACTCTGTTCTGTACTGTGTTGTGTATATTACTGTGTTTTAATTTTGTGAAGCTGCCCAGAGTTGTTTGGAGTTGGGTGGCTTAGAAATTTAACAGACAAATAAAAAATAAATATTAGGAGAGATAGATGCTTGGTTACATCTTATACTATTTGAATACGCAGATGTTGCTAGTCAATTTGATTTCTATCGGAATGGTATAGATATTAGTACAAACAACAAAACCTGCCTCATTTTGAAAAAAGAAAATTTCAGTTTACCAGTTGTTTGAAAATGCGGCAAAAAAGTATGATGAAATGAATGATTCGATGACTCTCGGAATCCATCGTATCTGGAGAGACATCCTGCTGTGCCACATGAACCCTTATCCAGGAGCCCAGTTAATTGATGTTGCTGGAGGGACAGGTAAGCCTCATAATGTTCACAAGCCCATCCAGATTCTCCACAGCTTCCAATTCAGGGCTTCCCAAGCATCTCCAGCTTGGCCCAGGGTGTTGTTGTATAATTAAGTGATATTGGAGAGACCTCATCCTGAGCCAAGGGATGATCTCGCCAACGTTTCCTGTAAATGTTAAACAGCCGGGGGGGGGATCACTAAGCCTGTGCATTCCCATTGATCTCAGGGGTCCCCCATCCCCACCAACTGGAATTCCAACTCAGGTAAGAGTAGAACCACCATAAACAGCTCCCCCAGCTGCAAGATCTTGTAGGCCGTCCAGAAGGATAAATGATTGATGGTGCTGAATGCCACAGAAAGGTCTAGTAGCATACACATCCTGTGTACCATGTTCTACATGCGCTCCCCATCTAGGTCCTAATGAAAGTCATCCACTAGAGCAACCAATGCCATTTCTGTCCAGTGACTGGGCCTGAATCAAGACAGAAAAGATCCAGATAATTCTCTTTCTCTAGGATCCCCTGTAGTTGATTCGCCACCAGCTTGTCATCAAACACAGTCCGATCCAGGATGGCATCTTGAGAAGACACACTATGGCCCCCTTTAAAGCTGGTGCATTGACCCTTTCCTTAAAGAAGCATTGACTACTATCTGGATCCAGCGGTCAACACCCCACCCAGTTGCTGAGAGGAGCCACAAGAGCCATGGCTGAAACCTGCAGGTGGCAGAATTTAAATTGTAGAGAACCCTAGCTACTGCTGCTGCAAGCTCCAAAGCACCCTGTATCACCACAGAAGCCTTTGCCCTGTTCGGCACCGTGGGCTCTGTGCATCTGTATGCAATCCAGAGTAGATGTGAGACTTTATTCACCAAGGAACCTAAACATTCATCCAGCAAACTTGCAGGAGATTTGCCCTGCCTGCCTTTCCCTGAAAGACTCTGGGTAACGCTGAACAGACCTGCCGGACAAGAATCTGTGGAGGCAATAAAACGCAGAGAAGTATTGGCTCTTTGCTGCTTCTGTCGCCAACGTGCAGGCTCAGACATGAGTTCTTACTAGTGCTTGGTCACACCCAGGTCTGGTTTTCCACCACTGTTGTTCTAGCATCTTTTCAGTTGCTCCACTTTCCTCAGCTCCGCAGGAAATCAAGAAGCCACTTGGGATCAACAGCTGGGAACAGCATCTCAAGTGCCCTGGCCACCTTTCCATTCCACAGGTCGATCAGGGGTGAGATATAACTCGGGTGGAGTGTTCTAATCCTTCCCAAACCTTTGCAGAGGTCTAGGGCGTCCATGATCCGCAGTAACAGCAAGACCAGAACTTCCTCTCCTCCCAGTGTGGGAGGAGTGCTGAAAAGTCCTTCTCCAGGCCTCAGGCGTTCTCACCAAGATAGTAACTATGAACGTGCCTCCTTGCAGCTTTCCGAGTTTAACGTTCTACACCAGCTGTAATACCCAAGTGTTACAAAACTCCTTACCTTCATACTTACCTGTATGTTGTTTAATTCCAGGAAAAAGAAATCTCACATTTTGAATGTTCCTTTCAAAACAAATTCAGGTGACATCGCCTTTCGATTTCTCAATTATGTTCGTTCCCAGCGGGAGCATCAGATCCAGCAGAAGCTGAGATCCCATCAGAATTTATCGTGGCAGGAGATTACCCACCTTTACCAGGAAGAGGAGAATGGATCTCTAGGGGGATCCCACGTAGTGGTCTGTGACATTAACAAAGAGATGGTGAAGGTTGGGAAGCAGAAATCTCAGCAGCTTGGCTACTCTGAAGGTAAGAAGTTTATTGCTTCAACAGTGAGGTTTAAATCGTGACTGGCTGTGTGTTTGTGGATAGACGTGTTTGTGCTCAATAACTCTTGAGGGAGTTATTGCTTAAGGGAACCGAGCCCTCTCCCACCCGAAGACAGACAGGCCCTTGTAAGCATCAGTGAGGGCGTAGGATTGGCTGAGTTTTTCTCCTTTCGACTCTGAAACTTTTCAGCAGCCTCTATCGGGAACAGAATGAAGGATCCCAAAGCCCTTGCTTCTAGGACTGAGCCTTTGGGAAGAAGTTTGATGAACCCTTTATTGTGATCCTGCTGGGGAGAAGAATGAAAGAACTTTGCTTGGGGCTAAGCTGAAAAGAGAACGGCAGAGAGGCACAGAACGTACGGGCGTGAGCGGGGGTATTTGGATTATCTGATGGGGCACTTCTTTGGGAACTATGACGTGATCCCAAGCCTCCAGTTGGGCACGGATGGCAGATACTTCGTGCATTTACTTCATCAACTTTACGAACACATTTTTGCAGGCTGATTTTTCAATACGTGCTGATGACCTACTCTGCTTGGCTCACAAGCAGATCTTGTGCGTAATTCAGTAAGAATATAATATTATGCCATGCTTTCTAGGCACTATATCCTGTAAGTTGTCGGTAGGACAGTGTAAATCAAAGATGGGTAGAATCCAGCCCATTTCTTCAGCGCTCCCTCCCCCCGGTTTTAGCTAGCTCAAAACTTAATTGAGAAATAAAGCTACAAGTCATTATCTAAAAGTGGAGTAAATGTATAGTTTGTCTAAATAATGCTCTCAGCTACTCTCTTTTACATTGGTGGTTTTGCGGATAAATTGAAGGGAGACCTCCACCTAAGCCACCTTTTGTTCCTGGAAGCAAGTGAGATAGAAATCTAAAACATGCATTAGATCGTTAATTAGTGACACAAATTGCACACTTTCGCATTGGACTGTTAACTTTGTCATGCGTACGTTCAACACAGGTTCTGTTTTCATAAAATGTTGTTGATCTTTAATGAAAGAGCCCTTTGGGAGGTCCTTTGAGCTGGGGCACTGACCACTTCCATTTCTGATTGTTTGAAGGATTGTCCTGGGTGGTGGGGAATGCTGAAGATCTGCCCTTCCAGGATGACAAGTTTGATATTTACACAATTGCTTTTGGTATCCGTAATGTCACTCATATGGACCAGGTGAGTGAATGGCTCCCATTGGACTGGGGGGGGGGTTGTTGCTAGACTTGTAACTGCCTTTTCTCCAGATACTCAAGGTGGTGTTACACTCCTCCTCCTCCTCCTAGTTTCCCCCCATAACAATAACCTTGTCAGGTGGTTGGAAAGAAAGAGAATGATTGGCCCAAGGTCACCCAAGGAGTGGCCATTTGAACCTGAATCTTCTTGATCCTAGTCTATCCCTAACCATTACAGCACTCCTACCTGGTGTATGAATCATATCCACTGCTCATACCTGGCAGTTATTCAGTGGTGTATCTTAAAAAAAAGTTTTCCAAAATACAGTCGTGTAAAAAAGAAAGTACACCCTCTTTGAGTTCTATGGTTTTATGTATCAGGACATAATAAAAATCATCTGGTCC